AAAAAAATGAAATTAAATATTATAATAATTTTATCACCAAATAATATATTTTAATTATTTAAAATTACTAATATCTGTTAACTAACTAATATCTGTTAGTATTTCATTTGTAAATTATTTTCTATGTTTTTAAGCATATTTATGGTATTGGTTTTTTTAATTAATCAAACAATTATTTTCAATAATCAGAAGTCAAGTAAAATTTAATTGGAACGAATTGGATTTGAAAAAAATTTCATAATTTTAGAGAAATATTTTAATTAATAAATTTTATTTTGTTATTCTCTTTAATCTAATATTAGATATCATTTAAATAACCAATATATATATATATATATATATTAACAAAATTAAATAAAGAAATTGGTACTTACAACGCAAGCCTTAACAGACTCCCAAAAGTTTCTCAATAAGTCTTCAATCTTGACGTTTTTTTTTGAAGACACTGCTCAATTGCACTATTTGTCTCGAACAAAAAAAAATAATAAATTATGAAATTTTTTATAAAATATTATAATTTTCTTAATTCGTTCGAAATGATTTCACTGCAATTGAATTGTTAAGCTTATATAATCCAAAAATCAGTTTTTTAGTTTAGTTCAGTAGTGCTTTCTTCCTTATCTTTATACACACGAATACAAACTTCACAAGGTTTTCGAAATCAAAGCTCTTTTATTTATCGGAATAAAATGGCAAAAGTGCAGTTGACAGATTGAACCAGGACTATTTCAATAAAATTGAAGTTTTAATTAAAAAGTCACATCACTGTATTGTAGCTTACAGTCATAAATCGGAACACGTTGTTCTCGAAACTTCTAGTAAAGTTGACAACAGTAGACAATAGTCAACAGTAATTGAAAGATATGTTGGTTTGAGAATAGTAGATCTACGGTGAAGTTGTTACCCTTGCTGCGCCGTGTTACTCGTTTATCCTGTCAAGTATTTATGCTAAAATTAAATTAGTTGTTTTTTGCTATAGTTCCACTATAGGCTCAATTTTTAACTTTATTTCAATTTAATTTTTTTCTTGACTTTATACTGACGATTACGCTGATCTATGGCAAAATCATATCGCGATCTCTGCACATTTTCGCTGTTTAAATTATTAAAATTCACGCCAAATAACCGAAATACTTTTAACGAATACGTTGTGGCAAAATTATTAGGCCGGTTCGAAGAAATAATTAATTTTCTATATCTTATAGATATAAAACGTTGATATAAATATCAAAACTGTTGCACGTAGCGCCAATGGCTTGATATATTTTATTAAAATCCACAAGTGGTATATTGTGAGGATACACTATGCCGCAAAATTGGAACTGCTATAGATTACGTTGCCTGCCGGTACGTGGTTTCCAATGCAAATGATTGATTAGCGATTTGAGTAGGCGTATTTTATTGTTAGGAATTGTATAGAATATTGATTTGACAATAATGCGCTCAAAAATATATTTGCATATGTCAAACTATAGCAAAACCTTTAATATTTCTCTCAATACTCTTCTCTACTATAGTTTCTCTTGATATACGACGCCTTCAATTTTCTGCTCGGTTAATTTAGTCCCTCACTGGAATTGTAGTGGAGTTTTAGGCTTTTAAATCCTATAATAATTAGCTTTAAAATGGGTGCATACAAGTGCGCAATAGGCCTTGCTTTTTGCTCTATTTAGAATTGCTTAACTCTTTTGCTTGCTCTCTCGCTCTTGCACATGCGTTAACTAATCTTACACTTACTCTTTCTAACTCGTTCGCGTTTATATCATTGTTTAACGTTGATAATCTATGGTTGCTTCAAGAAATGTGTGGAAACCAGTCGATATCTCAGCATGTGGGATTTGTATTAGTTTAGTTTTTTAGTTTAAAAGTTTCTCTAACTTAATGCGTTAAAGCCAGTTTGTTCAAGTAATCCATTTAATAAATTTTATAAATTTTTATTTTAAGTACGTGCAAGTCACCTTTACGGTATTTGTGTGCAACGTAACACACTAATATTTTTCAAAATTTTTTTATTATATATTTGTATTGCAATTAATTACAAATATTTGTGGTTTTTTAATTTTTATTTTTGTTTTGATTTATTGTGTTTTGTTAATTGCTTAAATACTTTAATATTTAATGTATTTTCGTAATTATTTTACTCGTATGTCACTCAACTCTCCAAAAATTTCTTTAAATGGAGAGTGAGTAAGGTCGTTTAGTGCAAAACAAAAAAAAACTTTTTATCTATTAAATTTTTTCGTTAGTTTTTCGTATTTTAACAAACACTGCAATGTGTGTAGCTGAAAATCAATAATGAGTAATAGCCGCTATTACAAAAAACACTGCAGTAGTCTTTTAATTTTTTTTCCAGCAAATACTGTTTTTTCAACACGAATTTACTTTTTTATACACTTAATATTTGTAATTATTAGATATGAGTATTGACACCGCGTTTATAAAACTTTCCGCTTCGTTTCGTAGCACGTCGTGACGTTCCAAAGAATCCAATGAATCTGAAAATAGCATATAAAATGTACATGTTAAGAGCATTTCAACATACAAGAAACACACAACACAAAACACAACCAACTACAACAACAATTCAGTCTTATTACAAATTTTGACAACTGTAGTGTTGTGCTGTGTGCTGTAGTGTTGTTGCCTTTTGCTGTATGGATAAGTATGCGTGTATGTATATTTACTCACGTTTCTCTCACGTTTTTTTCTTATACACAGCTTTTGCTCTTTGAAGCCAACACAAAATATGTGTATTTAGTTTTTAGTATTTAAAAAATGTGGACAATAAATAGAGCAGCTTTTATTGCGGCATGCCAAGTTTAAAAACATATTTTTTCCATTTGTATTTTTTACTTTCAAAACCATTCAAAACATCTATTCAATCCAAAACGTTTATCTCAAAACGTATGCTTATGCTGACAAACATGTGTGTTATTGCCATAAGTAAATTCCTTAATATAATATTATATTTTTTATTGTTTATTACTACAATTTTATAATAATTATATTATTTCTACTTCAAAACTACAGCATGTAATTTAATTGTACAATTTCAATGGGTGTGTTATGCATTATGCTCGCTATTGGTATTGTAATAGCATACTCCATCGTAATGTTCACAAGTACGCAATCAGAGCAGACATATAAAGAGTACAAAACGTTTCTCTTTGTTATTGTTGGCTCTTTGTATTAAATCCTGCCTACTCTTTAAAAGTGGTCATTACTGTTTCGTGTTTTGCTGAAGAAATCGGTAGTCACAAAGTTCATTCTATTTTATTGTATTTCCTTCTTGAGTTTTTTATAGCATTTATGCTTGCATTTGTTCATCAGTTTGTTGCATTGATCTGAAATGAATAAGTAATGAATAAAATTAATATAATGTATCATAATTAAACAATGTTTGTGCACTTTTATAGACTCAAGTATTTTAATAAAATAAACATTTTTTTCATAGAATAATTTCTTTTTTATTATCTTCTAGATATTAAATAATTTGCTTGGAATAATTAAAATCATAAATATTATTCAATTTTCTTATTAAGTCTAACTGCTTAGTATATAGAACAAATTCTTTGAAACATATAAGATATATTAATTTAACGTATAGTTTTTATAACTTTTATATATTGAAGACGACATCGTATTACAAATAACTGAACCACCTAAAAAACAATTAAAATATTATTATTAAGTTAAAATCCAGCAAAATGACAGAGAAAAATTGAATTAAAAATGAACCCATTTAAACAGATTTACACGCATCAAGTTAATCAGTGAATTAGTAGAGATTGTAGAGATATTTTATGGGCATTATTAGTCGATAATTATTAGTCTACTATTAGTGTAGCATAATTTGAAAATTCTATATCGAGCAAAATTCTGATAAGTTCATACAATTACATATATCTCAAAAAGTAAAGATTAGTCGTATATATATACATATATATTTGACACTCTTTTTTACCACATATTAATATAATATATTGAATACAATATAGTGGTATTGCAATCTATTAGAAATCATTCAGCGAGTGGCGCAGGAGTCATGATAGACCTTATGACCTCCCTCGTCATCATTACGATAATATGAAGAATTAGGGAGCAAATAATGAGAATTTCATTGAAGTCATATTAGATGATGTAGTGAAAAACTAGTAATGCAAAGATACATATTGGAGAGATGGAAAGATTAGAAAGAAAAACCATGTATAGAAAAAAATTTCATTTTTTCAAGAAAATAAATAATATCAAGGTAAAGAAAATTAAAGGAATCTTCGTAACATTGATAAATATATCAGGACAAAATAACTTTCATCACAATACCACCATTAAAAACTTGTCCGGCCGGCCGACTCTGTCAGGACAAAGGTCTGTCAGATAATTTAAAATAATTTTTATCTTTTATTGAACATTCAGAATGAATTCATAATAAATATACATATCTATATATATAGTCCATCGATTCATTTCGAAATGGATTCTCAGCACCTACTACACCCCTAATTGTACTCCTGATATTTTCATGTCATACTCATATAGTTAGTGGAAATCAAATTCTAAATCTAACCGAACGATGTTTACACATGCAAAAACAAATCATTGTTCATAGCTCTGTTCCGTATTTTTAGGGTGCTTATTTTTATTAAGAAACCTACTGATACGAAAGTGAATCCCATGGGCTCATCACGTAATACTAAAGTATGGCCTAATCTGCCATTAGTCGACAATATTTAAGGTTGCATCGATAACTGTTAGATAGCCTTAAGGGCGTTATAACTCCAAATTGATCTATTTTTTTTAGTGAGCTAGAAATGAATCTCATGGGCTCATCACGTAACACTAAAGTATGGCATAATCATGACATCAGTGGAAAACACATTTTTCAGGTTGCATCGAAAGCTTTTGGATCGCCTTATGTCGCCTTAGGCTTGTCTTCACGCCAAAGGCGTTAGGTTTTTGAATAAAAAAACTACGGTGATAAAAGTTCGTATGATAAGGTAAGATTTAGGACTCTGAAAACATTATTGAAAACTGAACATTTATTTTGCATACGTGACGATTTGCTTTACAGTATTTGCTCAATAGAGGATGTTAATTGATATAGTAATTAACAGCCGTTAAAACAAATACTAAATTCCTTCTAAAAGAAAGAAAGAAGGCCCTGTATATATAAATTTAACTTTTCTTGTTGAGTCATTTAAAATAATCTGTTTGTTGATTTCCAAAAACGTTTAATACGATTTAATAAAAAATATGTTTAGTACGAATTTATTCGCAAAACAGCTGCGCAGTGACTTTATTTAGGTAAAATTGTATAAACTATTCCAGAAACACTGAGAATGTGTAATTCAATCCTTTGATAAATCAATGCACATGTATTACATAAAACAAGTCAAATAGAACAATGCTTTTTGTTTATTTTAAAAAATCTTAACAAATTACTTTTTGTATAGGACATATGCGAAATTGGAGACCCTACAAATTACGATAACTCTCGCACTTACATAATTTTACATAAGTAATGAAATACTACTTTTATATTAATAATTTTATTTTTATAAATTAATCGTTCTGAAAACTTGAATTAGTTACGATGGGTGCGCATATTAAGTATCTGACGATAGAGTAGAATTATCGTTTTTTCTTATGGTGAACTATATCAGTAGCATGTAGGGTTTCATTATATAAAAAATACCGACTCTTATTTTACATTTGAGTAATTCCAAACAATTAATTGCAATTGATTTCAATTTACATGAAACATTTCTGTATTGTTTATTTGTTCTTTTGAAAAAATGCAGACAGAAAAAAATACATATGAGGTGTTCTTAGTAACAAAGTAGAATAAGTCCATTTATAAATTTATGATATAAAAAATATTTGACTGTGAAGGTAAAATTATTCGAACTGAATCACTATTCTATTAAAATTCTTTGTTTATATATACAATTACTTTGAATTACTGTAAGTGGGACTACTTAAAAATTCAATTAAATATTATCATACATCAATCATCAATCATTGTTTCAATGATTTCATTCTGCAAGTTAATCAAATTATTTTAGCTTTAGTAAATCTTTTGTAAATCAAATTTAAATAATATAACTAAATATATAGATAAAATCAAAATATCTAAATAGTATTTTCAACTACTTTATTTATTAATTAAATTTATTAGTACATATATGTATGTAGTATGTATATGTATATGGATATATCAGAATATGTATCAATATATATTTACAAAGCCATATGTTACCATAAATGCAAAACGAAATTACTTGTTTGTAGATAAATGTTTTGGTTGAAATACAAAAACTTGAACATTGCAAAAATTTCATAAAAACAAAGGAGTTCATTCATAAAATATTCAGCAAAAGATACTTGAACATGAGAAAAAGATGTGGGTTGTTGCTTACATATTGAAATCATAAACACTGTTTTCGTTAAATATAATATAACATATAACATGACATACATATACATAGATAAATATAATATATCTCTAATACAAACGGTGTTTTCGATATATTCGCATACGAGAAACTATAGCTTCTGCTAGCTTTATAATGAGGACTACAGAAGAACAGTGAATGATGAATGGAAAACTGTTTGGAATTTTAATAAATTTAATCTCAAATTAAATTAAAGCTGAAATTTATTACCTTTTTAAGTTAAAAAGTAATCTATGTTATAATAATAATTATCATCTGTAGAAAGTTAATAAATCTTCGATAAAAAAGATCTATTTTCTTTTACAAATGATTAAAAATAATCTAATAATCTATTTAGCATCTACTTTTTACAAACTCATTTTGGCAATTGTACATATAATGCGCCCAGATGTTTTCTACTCGACTCATTCAATGAATGAATTATATTTCTATGTTCCTTAAGCATGTTTTTCTATGTCAACAATCCTTTAAATGCCTTTAAATTTTAAAGATTTCTAATTTTTCCTTAATCATCCCCTGAATTTTTTAATGCTTCACAATTTTTATGTTCACCGATGATACTTAATATTATTGTTATTTTGAATCATTATAATAATAGTAATAAAATAACAAATAAACTTAAGAACTAACTAAACCAAATACTGGAAAAACATATAGAAGTCGCTCTATCAATGAAAGCCTTTTAAGATTGGATTAAAATGTATAATAATTGTTAAATAATATACATAAAAAGAAACAAAAATTCGATTTTTAATTTATTTTTATTTTAGCTATATATATATATATATATTTTAAACCATATAAACATATATTTCATTATTTAAAGTATTAAACAATGATTAAACAAAACGTTGAATATTTAATAACATATCTCTAACAGAAAATTTCGCGATTGTATGTTAAGTACAGAAGCTCTTACATTCCCGTACTCCTGGCGTAATACTTGCTTCTTCTTACTCTCTACACAGTGTACGTAATTCTTATTAAGCAATGTACAAATATTGAAATTATAATTAACAAGCAATTATAAGCCAAATTACATATACAATAATTGCACACATAACAGCTTAATATGAGTTTCTGTTAGCTAATTGTGTGAATGTTACAGCAGATATTGGATGACGGCTTTGCGGGTGCGAGTTCGAATGTGTGGGAGAAACGAATTACCATTAATTGAATTAGGTTTTCAAATTAAATGCGCAAGAAGCCCACTAAATGTTATTTAATATGAGCGAAATGTGGCAATAGAATATTTAAAATTACATATATAGAAAATAAAAAATAAATAGTAAATAAATAGAAATTGTTCAAAAACAAATATATTAACAAATTTAACTATATTTAACTCAAACAGAAAAAAAAGAAATATTATCTTTTAGAAAGAAATTTCTACAAATTTTCTAGATATATCTTATAGAACTTATGAAGAAATTTTAAAAAATTTTGTACATACATTATATTAAGATAATATAGATAGTAATTACCTCCCTATACTTATAATTGATAAGTATAAGCTAAGAAATGTGTTATATGTAATTAACCTGTATTTGTTATAAATTAGCGATAGGATAGTGATTGGATGAAGGGTAAAACCTAAATGCTGAATATATTATTAAATATGTTATTAAATTTATATTTATATATCATTAAATATATTCAGCTGAATCTGAAAATGTGTTTTTTGATAATAAATATAATTAAATAAAATATAAACACTCATAAATATGTTGTGTAAGCATTTTATGAAATTTTTTTTCACTGACACTAAATGACACAACCAACTAATATTTCTTTATGTTTAAATTTGATCCAAACAGTTCTAGGAGTCAACGAGTAAGTCAATCGATATCTACATTAAGACTGAAAAGTTTTCGGAAATTCTCATTTAAAATTCGCGCGCTGTATATTTTTCGATATTTTAAGTTTATGTAGTTTGGCAGCACTGTCCTTAATTACTATGCCAAAAATGAGCTCGATCTGTCAGACAGTTCGTTTACGGCAGCTGTTGAAACCAGTTCACCTCAGTAGTGCGTTGCGAAATGTCTTCGACGGTCGTACGACCGTCCTGGAAGGCTTTGTACCACTCATAAACTTGAGTTTTCGATAAAACTGATTCCCCATAAGCCTTTTGTAGCATTCGCAACGATTCTGCACACGAAATTTCGTTCGAAACACAAAATTTGATGCAAACTCTTTGTTCAATATTTTTTTCCATTGTTTTTTTCGCAACGCCCTACTGAGGTGAACTGGTTTCAACAGCTGCCGTAAACGAACTGTCTGACAGATCGCGCTCATTTTTGGCATAGTAATTAAGGACAGTGCTGCCAAACTACATAAACTTAAAATATCGGAAAATATACAGCGCGCGAATTTTAAATGAGAATTTCCGAAAGCTTTTCGGTCACAATGTATATACAA